AAAAACATTTAAATGATTTTATAACAAATTACATACCATTCACCATATAACACAGTTTTCTCAAAAAGAAAAATGATTTTTCTAAACTCCTGTTCTTAAACGTATCCGGCCTAAAGCCTCCAGTATCAAATTATATTATCACTTCTCCACCTTACCGATTCTCAAAAACACAGGAAACTTAACCAGTTTCTGCCCATTGCCGCAGTCAACATTCCAAGCACGCCTGAAATCCTCCACCACATCGGCCGTCAGCAGCTCCACGCCGTTGTCCTTGGCCTTCTGATACATCGACAACGATCTCAAGTACGTCATATACTCGTCATACCCCATCACCCTCTCTGTCACAAATTCAAATGGCCCCGTGCCCCCTGCTCGCTCCACTGCTTCGAAAGGGAAATCGACGCTACTGTACTTATCGTCCACCATTCTACGCCTCGGATCCCTGTATGGGTTCTCGTAGAATCGTCGTATTAAATCGTCAACGGCGTCGTTGACTTCCGGCATCGTGTAGCACCAGGCGGCGAATACTCCATAGGGTTTCTTCAGCACCCACTTCACCTGTGTTGCCAATTAAAGAGGTTGTATTAGTTTCAGTTGTGCCTATGACCTGTTTGTTTAAATTCCTCTTAGGCGTTCTGTTTCTATAGCCTCTGGTTTTTTTCAAATTAACCTCTGTTCTGTGTTCAAACCTGTTGGTAAAATTTTGGGAGGTCGAACCAGTGCAGCGCTTGAGCCACCGTCACCAGATCCACACTCGACTCTGCAGCCACCTTCTGTTCAAGCTCCGCTGTGGACATGATGGGAGGGGTATGTTGGTACCGTATGTTGGGGAGCTTTGGTGCATTCTCGAGTTGTGTTGGGCTCGTGTCTGTCGCTACCACGTTCTTGTAGATCTCAGCTAACTGAAAAAACATGGGAAAAACAGAGTAAAGAGTGCAGTCATGTGATCTTGAATACATGCAAGAATGCCGATGCCAACAAAGGTCTAATTGAATTGGTAGATAATTGATAAATAAAAGAGATCAGACTCACAGATCGAGCAGCCTGGCCACTGCCGGTGGCGACATCCCAAGCAAAATCATGGGAAGGTGTCATGGAAGAAATAAACTGGAAAAGTTGGTCGGGATAACTGGGACGACTCTCAGCATACTGTTTTGCCTGATTATGATTAATGAACAAATTTGCCATTTTGGAATTCTGTGTCTAACTCTAAGAAGATTTTGATGAATTTTATGTGAGAGGGGAAAATGTCATCACTATCTTGCAACCTTTGAATCTGATTCCAATAATTGGGGGAGGTAGTATATGCAGCTTTCAGTTTTGACCAATGTGGTTTCATGGAGAATGGTAACTGGAGGAATTTTAATTTCATTGAGATTTGATCATTGACTACGGATGGCAACGGTCCACCATGGGAGTGGGGACCCCCTCCCCATTCCCATCCCCATCCCTATCCCCATCCCCGTTAATGATAGGTATGGGGATTCCTACGGGGATTTTGGGCGGAGGATAAAAAATAACCTCCACCCCCATACTCACGGGGAATAATAGGTCCCCATGGGTATTCAGAGTCTCCACCAAATAAAACTCGATACTCGTTTCTCGTTTGAAAAATTAACTTGAAGATAGAACAAATTAAGAGCTTGAATGAGTCTCAAAATAACAATACAATTATCGTTTGCTATAAATGCGAGAAAGAAGCTATGCATGCATGTAAACAATGAAAATCGCATTCTAACAATCTTGCGAACAATTGGAGGGAAAATGAAATCAGAAATAATAAGGCCAAAATAATGAGATTTGCTTCACTTCAAAATAAATCATCAAGTACAGATACTCAGATACTCACAAATACTCACAACTCAAGCTCAAGCAAGTTACAAGTAGCTGATTAAAGAATAGAAAAAAAGCTATGGGCACTGCCTTTTGAAGGTTGCCGAGAATGATAGGTTGAAGGGAATTGATCGATTAAAGAACAGAAACAAAGCCAGTGAGCTACAGTGTAGAGGAGAAGAGACTGGAGTCTGGAGTCTGGAGTCTGGAGTCTGGAGTCTAGAGTAGAAATCACAAAGCAGATTCACAAATATCAAAATTTTGAAATAATCCTTCTAGTTTTAAGGTTATTAGCAAATTGGATTATGGTTGGGCAATTAAGTTTAAGAAGATAATGCAAATTGGGTTGGACTTGGACAATTAAGTTTAAGAACATTATTGGCTAGATTGAATTATATAATTGGGTTTGGAAAAATTAAAAAAAAAAAAAGATTAGTCAATTAATTAGGTTGAGTAAGTAAAAATTAATTATTAATATATTTAAAAATGTATATATAAATAAATTTTTGTTTTAATTTTATATGGACTTCTATGATTTCCTACAGGGCGAAGGAAATTCCCCATAAAATTTCATGGAGAAAAAAAAAGCTTCCATCCTTGTTTTATAAAAAAAATATTTTTAAAATCTCCATCCCATAACAAAAAAAAATCCACGAAACTCCACGAATTGTAAAAGAAATTGCCATCTCTATCATTGACTACCCCCCACTCACCCAATATCCCTTCTACTTTGCCAATTAATGCTTTGTCTGTACGTGTTGGCTTAAGCTGTTCAATTTTTTTTTTTTCTCCTTTGTTTTTACCATGTAAAAAAATATTTGGTTCAACTTACATTTTTTTTTTGTTACTTATTCGATTTAATTATCAAAATAGAATATAAATATAAACAATTTAATTAATTTTTATATGTTATATGTATTATTATATTTTAAATTTATTTATTTTTAATTACATATTAAAAAATAATAATTTTTAATAAATATGTTGTATAATATGTTCAATGAAAGAATATATCAATTAATATCTAAAAAGT